CATAGGCCCAGTTTGTCACAGTCACAGGCCCATTTGTCACAATTTCATTTAAGTATATGAATACTGATGACAGTTATAATTACAGCACTTTAACACTCTGTAGTCGTAACATAAGTATTTTTTATTCTCCAAGTTCAAATTTGTGTTGTAAAGATAGTCCCTTTTAAATTATATCAATTCAGCTTGTGCTCTTCAATGTTTCTTCCTTTTTGTATCCAAATCAAAGCAAATTACTCTGTAAAATTTCAACAATGAATGTTCTTTCGTTAAAAACAGTTGAAAAAATAAAATTCAGTTCATACTATCAATCAATCATTCATTTAGATTCTACTCATTTTGAGAGTGTCAGTGATAACTTTCATCATACAGGGCACAGTCGAGGCGGGGTCGTCGTGGGCCTGTCACAAACTGGCACGCTCCGTAACAACAAGGTGCGTAATGTGTATTTTTGACCTTGCAGGCTATGGTGGCGTGACCATTGGGCGGGACTAGTGCTGTGCAATGATCGAGATTTTCATAATCGATAACGATCGATTTTCAGAGTCGAAAAAATCGACGATCGATTAATCGAAAAAATGGAATTGTGAAAGGGTGGGAGGGACAGGCAATGATAGTACATAACAAGATGGGCCACTTCTCTCTTTGAGCCAATTAAAAAAGTGTCCTCAAAATTTGGTGGCGCCCTCTTCACAAAAGCGCACTCTTTGCGAACAGAGTTACCCTACTTGAGTTTTTAAAAATCAAAGTGAAACTAGCAAGTTTTGGGATAAATTTCGGAAGAACGCTTTTTAAAAATGGTTACGCTGACAAAAAACCTCTTCCGGAGGAAAGGGTGATTGTTTTCTTCGTTTAATTTGACTTTAGAATGAAAGGCGAGAGGTCATTAAAGTATAAATAACCTAAAACTCCGCACTGAACGAACCCGAACTGCTGATGAACAGCAGTCGATCTGCGCACGCAAGGAGGTGCTATTCCTATTCTTCTTCTGGAAAAACGAAAGAGAGCTTCAAAACAGACTGCAGCGCCATCTGAAGCAAAGAGCATACTTCCTGCGGACACTTTTTAGGCTGAGTGACCCATCTTGTCTTGTACTATCTTTGGGACAGGGGCGCAAGCCATGCGGATGCATTGATCGGAATCGCTGGGGTTTTTTGGTTTTTTATTTTTTTATTTTCCTTTTTTGTTTGCTGTTGTTGTTTTGTTGTTGTTTTCGGGGTTAAAAAAATCTTCAATTTATTTATTCATGATAGATCTAATAAAGCTTTTGTAACTGAGGTCGTACAGTACAAAAATGCCACCATGATCGACATCGAACATGGCGCAAAAATCGATTTCGACCATGAGCATCGCGATAATCGACGATCGATTATCATAGTCGATTATGCACAGCACTAGGCGGGACTAGGCCTCCCGATTATCTGGGGGCCTAGTGGCGGGGCGGGAGGTGTACGACACAGCGTGTACCAGTGGGAAAAAAAAGAATGGTCGTTTCGCCGCAGATAGACTTCGATTACAACTAGATTTAATTTAGGACGCTGCGAGTACGCTGTGATGTCTCAGGGACAGAACCGTTGTAAAATCCCCAAAGTTGTTTGAAAAAAAAAAAGCTTGAAGTTCATGATGCCGATTTGCCCTGTATCTTAGCGTACAAGAAACAAGGTTTCTTGTACGCTAAGCTCTGTATTCAAGTATACAGGGCCTGATAGGGGCTGTTTGCATTTTATTGCGTAATCAGCGGTGAAACCAAGGCCTAACGCGCCCATGCTGCCTGTCTAATTTTTGGGTGTTTTTTGTTGTTGTTGTTGTTGTCAAAACACGACTGGCTCTAATCACGCACGACACATTGCGAAGCGATGACATCACATCACAACATTCATATAGGCCTAACCAGAGAGGGTTTACAGTAATAGAGAGGTGACACTCGTGGCGGCACTCCATAACAACAGTGCATTGTTTCGCGTATCGCCCGGCGCGGGGCGCGAAAACACTTACGCGCGGTGATCGCTGCCACGGCGATGCTCAGGGATGCTGTCATGTCATGAGAAAGTGTAGTACCGTCTGTAGTTAGTTCACTAGGTTACTAGGTCTTTAAAGAAAGGAGGCCTGTGAATTCTATCGCATATTTTAGGCAACTCCCCTGCCTCCCTCGGCCATAAAGTAAGACTTGTTTTTGGCTTAAGTTAACATACATTCTAATAAACAAATAGACGCAGATACACTTTTCTTCGTCTCTATAGATCTGGAAAAAAATCCCAATAATTAAAGCAATAATCGGTTTAATTTTCAGCAAATCTACTCATTCTTCAGTGTCCCTCTGTCATCTTTCTCCCTCTCTGTCTGTCTGTCTTTTTCTCTCTCCCTGTCTCTTGTTCTTTCTTCCCCTTCTCTCCCTCTGTCTACCTGTCAGTCTGTCTGTCAATCTGTCTGTCAGTCAGTCTGCCTGTCTGTCTGAATGTCTGTCTGTCTCTTTCTTTCTTTCTTTCTTTCTTTATCTCTCTCCCTGTCTCTTTTTTTCTCCCCCCCCCTCTCTCCCTCTGTCTACCTGTCAGTCTGTCTGTCAATCTGTCTGTCAGTCAGTCTGCCTGTCTGTCTGAATGTCTGTCTGTCTCTTTCTTTCTTTCTTTCTTTCTTTATCTCTCTCCCTGTCTCTTTTTTTCTCCCCCCCCCTCTCTCCCTCTGTCTACCTGTCAGTCTGTCTGTCAATCTGTCTGTCAGTCAGTCTGCCTGTCTGTCTGTCTGTCTGTCTGTCTTTCTGTCTGTCTCTTTCTTTCTTTCTTTTTCTTTTTCACACCCTCTCGCCCTGTCTATCAGCGTATCTGTCTGTCTGTCTGTCTGTCTGTCTGTCTGTCTGTCTGTCTGTCTGTCTGTCT